CAGCCGGCAGTGGTGGGGAGTAAGTATGATGATGGTTTTCCTGGGGCTTGGTAGTTCAAGCTCTGCAGAAAGTAGCATCTGTGCTAAAGTTGAGCTTTAACCCTCACTTTTGCCAGTGTCCATGTGGGAAGTGTTAATGGTTATTTCCTGGCTGACAATGTTACAGAGTCACAGAAGGGTTTGGGTTGGAAGGGACCAGGGTGCTGCAAGGGTATGTAGGGGCAGGACAAGAGGTAATAGCTTTAACTTGCCAAAGGGGAGATTGAGATGAGCTCTTAGGCAGAAGTTCTTCCCTGTGAGGGTGCAGAGGCGCAGGCACAGATTGCCCAGAGAAGCTGTGGCTGCCCCATCCCTGGCATTGTTCAAGGCCAGATTGGATACAGGGGCTTGGAGCAACCTGTTCTAGTGGAAGGTGTCTCTGCCCATGGCAGGGGTTGGAGCTGGATGAGCTTTAAGGTCCCTTCCAACCCAAACCATTCCATGATTCGATGATCTGAGGGTGTCAGGCTGAAGCTCAGGCTCAGCTCTGCCCTCTGAGAGCTGTGTTTGCAGTTGCCTTGGAAATCGGTTGCTTGAGCAGGCAGTGATCCAGCCTGTGACGCTTCAGGTCTGCTGTCTGTAGGCATTTGGGTGTGCTGAACCACTCTGTCTTTGAACCCTGCTTGTGAAGGCTACCCAGGGCTGGAGAAGGACCATGGGTGGCTGCTAAAGAGCAGCTTCATTAGTAAGTGTATAAGGGTTTTCTGAGGAAGGAAAGCATCTACATGCCTGGCTGTGTGGGAATCTGCTTTATGCATGTTGGAGATGAAGAGCAGGCAGGCACCTATGGTGCTTGTTTTGGATAGTCATACCTCAGAATAAGCAAGAGAGATTGCTCTAATGAGCTGTCATCGTAGGAACAGTGTTTCCTCCTCCCCCATGCCAGCCTGGAGCAATGTGATCTGAGCAAAAAACCAAGTGCCTTCAGCCTTGATGTAAGGAGTGATTGTTTGAACGTCTTAAGGTAGTAGGAATGTTCAGGGCAGTGTAAATGGGGTGATTTGGCTTGTGTATGACACTGGAAATTTAAAACTCAATGAGCTAGATAAAAATCATCTTGGATGTTTGAAATGGCTGAACACTTATGACATCCCTGTTCAACAGGGAGTCTGACAAGGGCATTGGAGGTTTTGGTCATTCTTTCACCTTTGCCTGTGCCAAGAGGTGGTGGGTTTCTGGAGCAGTCTGAGAAGTTCAGTCTTGCTTACCGGGCAGCCTGTACTTGAGGTGTACTTCATTTAAACAGTCTGAAACTGGTGCTAGTTTTCTTCATCTGTGCTAGATTTTGTCATTGGTGCCCCAGCTGACTACTGAGTATTTGCTTTTCCATTTAAACCTTATTTTCCATGCTTTCCCATCCCCACCGTTCTGCGTTCTGTCCTGGAGCAGGCACAGATCTGAGCTGAGGAGTGGGGATCAGCGAACAATCATTGAGAAGTATCAATTTAAAGTTCAGGAGAGGGAAAGAGAATCACTTTACTGTTTTATCCATTTGAAAACTCCCTTTAGACTCCCACAGAGGCCCTCTCTGGGCACCTGGATGCAGGCAAAAGGACCTGGAAGAAATGTGAAACAACACTGATCCTTGGATCGGATGCAGGCAAAAAGCCTTGGGTACCCAGCAGCTCTGGGAAGGGGCTCAGTGTGATTATCCCCCTTTACAGATGGGGAATCAGCTCTGAATCTTGCCCATAGTTACAGAACTCACTATGGGAATAAACCTCAGTCTAGTGCTTTATTCACTGTATATCTCTTCTTCTATTATGCTGTTGCACTGGTATTAAATCTTAATTAAAAGAAGCTTCAAATTTGCCAATCAGAACAATGAAAGGATTTCGAAGCCTCCAGTTTTCTTTCACAACTGTGATGCTGCTCATTATGCTTTTTCTCTTTCATTTCCTTTAGACAGCAAAAGTAATTGGGGTGACTTTAGTTTCTTTCCAGTTGGTTTCTTGGCCCAGCTGTGTATTTAAGCATAAGCTAAATCAGTAGGATGCAAACACCTGTGATGAATGGCAGGTTAGATTAAAAATTACCTAATGGCTTCTTCTGCTTTAATCTCTCTGAACTAAATGTGTCTGAAGTTAATGGGATCATTTCCCAAATAAAGCTCTACATGACTCTCTTCTTTTTTTCCACTTCCCTTAAGAGTCCCTTTAAATTTTTATATCAATTAGTTTTGTTAAACCATTTAACCAAGACTGAATCTAAATGCATGGCACTGTGCCCTTTCCAAGCATCATATGCATGAAGAGCATTAACCCCTTCTTGGGAGAACTGACTTGCTGGGTACTGTGCTCATGCTGGGTGTATCAGAACTGCAGGGTAAGGGCTTCCATCCATGGTGGGGATGGCTCTAGATTAAATGTTTTAACATACAGGGTATCTGTTTCTTCTTTATATTGCATTATCCCAGTTTGTACCAGTAGCTCTAGCTCCTGGCTGTCCATTTCCAGGCATCCAGTGACAACAGTTTGGTATGGAGGTGCTCGGGTCTTGTTCAGATCTTCATCTCTAGCTGGCGGAGGTGCACTGCCCTCGTCTGTATTGGTGTTGTGTTATGTGGTCATTCAAGTTGCTTATCAAATCTGGAAAACTAGCTTTTTTTCCTTCCCCTCCTTGTGCATGTGGTGTGCTTAAAGTGGAAAGAGCTTTGAGTGATTTAATGGGGCTCTGAAAGAATATTGCAAGCTCCCTAATTCAGAAAGTTGCTTTACATGTGTCTCCTCTTGCAAACTTGCCTGCAGTTGATGTTTCTTTGAAGAGCCTGTGATGGCTCTTTATCTATAGCTGGTTGAAGCACGTTCAGCTCTGCCTGCATGTCAGTGGTGTTTGGCACTTCATTTTCAAAGAGAATTTGTTAATAAATTGTAGCCTGAGAGATGAAAGGTTCTGTGTTGAGTCTCATTTGAGGTGGGGAGACACCAGACAGGACAAGAAGGAGCTTAAGAGATATTTGATTTTTCAGGAGAGGACAGAGTCCTCTTCCAAGAGCAAATCAAGGTCATACTTCTGGCCATCACCTGGTGAGCTAGGCGAAAAGAGTACCAGATGTGAGCTGTGGTACTCCACAAGCAAATACTGAGTGCAATGGATTCCATAGTAGAGTGGTCGAGTTTGGTCAGTGGAATGGAGAGAGCTCTGAAGCTGTCACCTTGGTGACATCATGAAGAATGTGACTGGTAGCCCTTTGTCCATATTGCCTTCCACTGTGTTTGCAGGAGGCAGTCCTGTCCCTGGAGTGGCTTAGCACCTTCATACTGCTTTTCATTTTCTAAATGCTGCTCTTGCAGATTTTCTTCCAACTGTTTTCTCAAGTGGGTACTCTGATCTTTAAAAAGTACATATATTTCTACTATTACCAACACATAATCAACAAGACTGCATGTATAGCAAAGTGGAACCAGCTTCAGGAGGTACAGAGAGGTAAAATTCAGCCCCAGAAGCACCTTTGTTTTCTGTCGAGCAGCAATATTGTCTAGCTCAGCCCAGGCAGAGCTCTCCAGAGAGTGTGATGCTGTTGGGAAGTATTGATCCCTGGGCTGGACTCTCTGTGTCCATCCCCCTTCCGCTTGGTGCTGTGAGAGCAATAATAATTCCTGTGTTATTGCGCTGCCCCCACTGAAGCAGTACCCAGACAGGAGAGCAGCTTCTTGACCAGACTCTTAGACCTCAGCTGGTTTTGGCTTGTGGTCTGTTGAGAGCTGTGCAAGGCAAAGCAGAAAAGTTTAAACTTGCTGTTGAGGGACTTGGGCCATCTCTGAAGTCTCAGGTATTGAGAAAGGTTAGAAATTATTTACCAAATAGAGCCACTTGCCCCGTAGTAAGATGAATGTGCTTGGTGTGCAGAGAGGGGTTTTTAGGTCCTGGCTTGTCTGTTCCTCCCCCAGTGAAGATGCTCATCCCTGCTCTGTGTAAAACTTGGCTAAGAGAAAGTTAGTCACCGAAAAAGCCACTGATGATGAGCACATATTACGATTTGGGAGGTGATGCTGCACCTCATAGCAAGCAAAAAGAACATCAACATCCCTCTCACGTGAGCTTCCTAGGGATGTTCTGGATGTTCCCAAGGGGCCATGGCTGGTGTCCTGGCCTCCCTGTACCTTTGTTTCACCCAAGGCTGGGTGAGCTTCAGGACAGACACTGCTCCAATAGCTGCCTTTATGTACAGTCTGTCCTGTGCCCTCTGCCTCACTCCTTTCATAAACAGCTGGGAACTGCAGTCCTTGGTATGTGGGGAGGAGTGGGAAAGCTGCCTCTGGCCAGGGAAAGCTTCACTGCACCCGCTGAGATATGACGTTGGTGAAGCCGCTGCGGGCAATGGTGTTCGAGTGATTTGGTGGACGTTTGTAGCCGGGGTCTGTCTGCACAGAAACCAGACACCATGTGGCTCTCCTCACGCTGGAAGCTGTCACTGTCGCTAATACCACACATTGGAGATGAGATGCTGCTTCTCATTAACATCAAAGGGTAGAGGGCATCCTCCAGAGGATTTGGCGGGGTGGCTGCCACATCATTAACACAGCTCTTGGCCTTTCATGTGCTTTATATCACCTACTTTGATAAAAGGTGTGGATGCTTGAAATAATTGTTGGTAACATTGTCGGGCATGTTATTGCGGTATCCTTTATCCATACAGCAGTGTGGCAGCCTGATGCCATGGCAGTATTTATTTGTGTTTTGCTAACACCTCCTTACCTCAACCTGTGTTGCCTGGGGTGATGGATGAGCACAGAATGCGTCCTCAAGTTTAATAACTTCAATGCTGAAGTGCTCAGCCTCTCATGAATATGGATATTTCGTTTTTCTTAGCATTTCCAATGACTTTCCTAGTCTCTGCTTTTAAGACGGGCTCACCAGAAGCCTGCTGGTTTTTGTTAGCTCCAGGGTGTGTTTATAAGCAAACGTGTGTGTTTATATGCTGCTGATGGCTGTTTTCTTCCTCCCTTACTCTTCCCTAGAAACTAGCAGCTGAATGCCAGAGTGCTGGCTACCCTGGAACCCTCATCCCATACAAGTGTGATCTCTCCAACGAAGAGGAGATCCTGTCAATGTTCTCTGCCATCAAGACCCTTCACCAAGGAGTTGATGTGTGCATCAACAACGCAGGGCTTGCTCGGCCAGAGCCCCTGCTCTCGGGGAAGACAGAGGGTTGGCGAACGATGATAGATGTGAGTAGTGCCACACAAAGTGGGAACTGTGCTAGATTCTGATTTCTTCTGGCCACCAGCATCATTGTCTCCATCTATTGCATGCATGTAAAGCTGAGGACCTGCTTCCCGTCTGGCTCTGATATGGCCTGGGTTTGATGATTGGGAAGTGGAAAGACATCACGCACTGCTGAGACACCTGCCTTTACTTTGGAGTATGAAAACACTCAATACCTTCAGTAACACTTTCCCCCTGTAACTCAGTGGCTTTCTAAAGGGTGATGAGCCTCGCACTTTTTGCTTCAATAAAATAGGAAGTTGAATGCCAAGCACTGGCTTTTGTAGTTAATCCTGTTAGTTGTAGCAGTGGGTTGTAAAATGGGCAGATTCTTTTTGGCTTAAAAAGCTGTAATGCTTTTTGTCTTCATAGCTTAATTTTCTGCCCATAATCTGGTTAGAGCTGGATGTGAATGAGGTAATTTCCTGTGCTCAACTGGGAGTTTGCCATGTACCAGCAGCACTTCTCCCTGGGTCTTGCTGCCCTGAGGTCCTGCTCTTCATCTTTGGGGGTTTCACCATCTTTTGTCATTGTGTGATGGCCCTTTCTGCATGCAGCAGTGGCAGCTGCAGCTGTGGGACCCCAGGCCAGTTTGCATACTCTTGCAACAGCTCTCTTTTAGTGGCCATCCTGCAGCTCTGGCCAGTGAGATGCTGAAATATGGCCTTGAATAAACCTTGAGTAAGACTTGTGGGCCCTCCAGCAGCTAGGAGAGCTTGTCCTAGTGAAGGAAAAGACATGTCTATTAGAAAAGCTGCTCAAAGCTGGAGGCTCAGGTCTGCTATGTCTGACAGTGGAGTCAGCAGGGGTCTGTTGGCTCCTGCAGCAGCCAGCGTCTGTTCATCAGGAGTAGTTTCAGGGGCTGTGTGAAGCAAGAGAAGCCTGTTGAGGCCTCCAACTCCTGCTGCCAGGGCAAGAGCTGCTGTATCCTGACTAATTAAGCTCTTGTTAGGGTTTTGGCCAGTCTGCTGGTCGCTGTGACTGCAGCCAAAGCAAGCTCAGCTTGGCTTTGTCTGCCCAGGCAGGCTTTTGTGGGCTGCCCAGCCTGGGTCACTGCACAGCCGCATCTCCCTGTCCCGGTTGCCATGGAGTCTTTAAAGAAAATGAAGTGTAGCTGAGGCTGAGCTGGTGTAAAGCAGGACATTCCCTAGTGCTGTCTGGCTGCCCACCTGGCCCTGTGGGTCACCTGTGCCTTGTAAACCCCTTGTCCTGATCACTGTGATTGCATCTTGTGTGGAGGCCTCTGTGGATGCTGCAAGCTGCTTGCACTGATTTGTCTTTGTTCTTCTGACCTTTTGTTCTCTATAACATGGCCAGGCAGTGGGGAAACACGTGGCTTTTGCCAGCTGAAGGCCCTTCCCCTCTCTGTGCTCCCTTCCCTGGCTGCTCAGGTGGGAGTGCTTCCTTTATCCCACCTGCCACCACTTTTTAGGGAGAAATTCTTTGGAATAAGGATTGTCCTGTATGAGGCACTCCAGCATTGCTATTTACAGTAGCCGAAAGCCTGTGGTGTCCCCCTTGTTGTGGGTGCTGGTGTGTGCACCCTTTGGAGCTGCTTTGGGGTGACGGATGGGGTGGGAGGAGAGGAAGGGTGATGGCTTTGCAAGGGCAGCATTAGGAAACCAGCCTGGGGACATGTTTTATTCCCAGAGGTGATCTGTACAGCTGTGTCTGCTCTCATTGCTTGGCAAAAATGCTGTTGTAGCACAGAGAACAGATTAAGACACCAAATTTTCATGTTTCACTGGCAGATTTTGTCCTCACCAGCTTCCCAGCAGCTGCTCTTGACTTGTGTGGAATTGAATTACACTCACACCTTTAATGCAAAGGTGAAGCCTTGGGAAACTGCAGAGCCAAACACTTCACCCCACTCAGCCTAAGCAGCCTGACAGGCCTGGGCTTTGCTTTTTACCCTGCTGATAAGGGGTAGAAAAGGGTTTTTCCTTTTGCTGTGTGCCCCTGTTTTGTGGCTGCAGCCTCCCTGCGTGGCAGTCTCTCTCATGCTGTAGCAGTGAGGACTGGGGAGAGATCTGCAGTGACAGCTCTCCCCGCTGTGGCACACCAGCCCCAAGGAAATGCTCAACCGTTTCTCCTACATGCTCTGAAGTTCTCAGAGGGTCAGGATGGGGGAAGGTTGCCAGCACCTTCCATGGATCACTGGGCTTTGCAGAGCTGGGTGGGAGCAGAGAGGCTTCTTCCAAAGGTCCCTCGGAGAAGGGTGTTAGAGAACAGCATGGTCTGAGATGCTGTTAGAGTTTCACTGTGCGTCTGGCTGCAAGACAGGAGAAGTTTCTAAACAGCCATTGATCTATCGATTTAGGAGGCATTAGGGCCTTAAATTAAAGGCATATTTTTCCTTTTGCTAAATTGATTTTTGCTTCCATTCATTTTTTATGAGCTTTGAGCCTCCTTCCAGGCTCCCCTCTTCAATATTCCATAAAATTTCTTGCTATACATCTAACAGTTGAAATCATGTTATTTACATATTCCTCCTTTGTTTTAATGGTCCATTCCTTATTGTCTGGTATTTATTCCCAAGGGGGAAGCTGTTTCTCCCTGAACTGCAGGAGTCTTGGATTAGGAATCTGTTGCTTTACAGAAGCACAGAGCCCAGTGCTGCCAGCCAGCAAATTTGGTGTGTGTGTGTGTGTTACCTCAGTCAGGTTCTGAGCCCATCATCCTTTGGTTCATAGCTTTCCCCCTTCTCTCTCCTCTTAGTTGTAAGGTTGTGCTTGACATGAGGCTGGACCAAAGTCCCCCAGCCGTTCCTGACCTGTGCGGGAGTCTCTGGGGCCAGGTGCTGTGTACATACTGATTCCAGGCACTGGGTTTTGAACACCTCCTTCACATTTTACCTACTGACCTTTACAGCCAGGCATTTGAGCTGAACTTTCCATTTGCACTGCTCAGGGCACAAAGGGCTGTAGCACACATCCTCTTGCTGCTCTAAATGCTAAATGGGGTTGATTCTTTTTGGCATTATTCATTGAGCAGCGAGGCTCTGTTGTTCTTGATTGTATCTCAGCACAGATGGTATGTAAGTTTTCTGTAACCTGTGTTTTTCTATGTTCTTAGGAGCTACAATACTCATTTTGAAGCTTTATAGAAAAGGCTGATTCTGGGAAGTGCTCAGCCCTTCCAGGAACACGGTCTTTTATATTCTCCCAGCCTGGCAATTGGAATTCATTCATGACTAGAAACTGGGCTGCTGTTGTTTCTGTTGCATTAGCACACACACACGTGGTGGTCACAGACCTGCAGCGTGCTGTGCAGGGGCAGAGCACAGATATGTTGGCCATCTGCTGAGGGACTTTTGAACCTTTTGTTCTTAAAATAGAAACAAGGCTGAAAACCATCTTGTGCGGGTATTTGTGACAACAGCCTGTAGATTGTTTCTCAAAGTGATACAGCCCTAAGGCTTGCTTATTATTCCAGGCGTGTTTTGTTAGGTTCCTGAGTGCCTGTTCCACATTTTGAAATAGGATTTCACCTAAAAATACAGTGGGTTCTATCAGGAAAAGGCAGTGAGGCATTCCCAGCTCAGCTGCTTTTAGCCACTTGTTTTGTTGTCCCAGGTGTCTTATCATACAGGCTCTGGACTTTCCCATGTGGCTGTTACTAGTATCTTGCTTTGCCAGGAGTTGTCACAATGTTGTAACTCTTGCCACACAAGGAAGCATTGCTCAGCACAGCGGTGGAGCCAGGTCTCAGGCTTTAGGTTGATGTTACCCTCTAGTGGCCTCCCGAGATGCAGTGAAATTGGAAAGTGACTGCACCAAAGACTCAGTGCCTTGATAGCTTCAGGGTGTATTGGGGCAGGGAGGAAAGCAGAGCTATTGCTTGTCATGGAGGCTTTTTAAACTGACAGTTGCCCAGATCTATATCTGGAAGGACTGGCTCCTCACTTGGTTAGTGTATCAGACTGGAGCAGGTTATTCCTGCTTTCCTTGACCACCTTACTGTGAAATCCAAAAGCCTTCAGATGCCCTCCTGCTCTGGGCTTCGCTCCAGTGCTGAGGTGACATGTCTGCTGACTCTTCCTTGCACAGTCAAGGTAAATCTTCAACCTAATGCCAGGGAATTTATCTGTAGTTCTAGGTATGATGACTGAGATACCCGGCAGTGACTGTGTGCTTAATCAAAGTGCACTTGGATGAGGATGATGACTCTACTTGTTGCCTGGGTGCTCCCAGGATCAGATAAGCATGCATTTATCTGCCGCCAAGACAAAAGCTCACAAGCAGGGCCTCTAGTAATCAGTAGGAAATAACATCTGAGGCAAAAGCAGTGACTAGAAGATCCTTCAGCTGACCCTGTTGGTCTTTTATGTGCTGCTCAGTAATTACATCTCAAATCCATCCCTTTTTGCCTCTTAGCTTCTGGTCTCCAAACTAAGGTGGACATCCTTTTGTGCTAGCAAGTCCTGGTTAGCCTGCCCTACTCTTGTTTATAAGCTTCACAGTGATGATAGCCAACCCTCTCACATATCTTTTGCTCACTGCCACATGGCCTTGTTCCTGCTGCTCCTCCCATTTATAGTTGCACCTGACTTGTGATTCGTCAGAAATCTAGCTCTTCCTGGGTATTTAGTTCAAATGGTGTTTTTAGTCCTGCCTGGCCTGCTTATTTTGTTGGCAAAGTGATGTGCCATTAGGTAGGACCTGCTTTGAAATGGCTGCATCCTTTCTAGGGAGTGTCAGCAAACACTTTCTACCTTTCAGCCACTTCTGCAAATCTAAACCACTATAAACTTGAGCAATTTCAGCTGCTGAGATGACTTGCTCATCAGTCTTGCACATGCCTCTGGCTGCTTTGTATTCCGGCTGGGGGAGCTTCTATACCTCCGTCTTCCTGGAACCTTTGACTCTGTGTTTTATGGTCAGCGAATGCCCAAGGCATCCATGCATTAAAGGTGGCACATTGCAGAGGTGATACGGCTGAGTTTAACCAAGCCGTGGCTGTCTCACGAACTGGGTATCTGTGGCCCAAGCACCTTGTGACTGAGCCCCAGCTTGGTGGCAGTGAAGTGGGTGTGCATTTCCCTCTGTTTGTGGGAATTGTGATGGGTTTGGGGACTGGAACTTGCATTCTTGGCTTCATACATGTGTGGGGAAGTCAAAGGGTGCCCGGCAGGGCTGCTAGCCTTAGTTTCTTCTTCTTTTCTGATCCCTCAGGTCAATGTAATGGCTGTAAGTATCTGTACCCGAGAGACCTACCAGTCCATGAAAGAGAGAAACATTGATGATGGGCATATTATTAACATTAACAGGTATGCAAGGGGGGAATGTCAGATCAGCCACATGGGCTTTCTCCTGTCTCATAAAGAGGATTTAAGCAGCAGAGCTTTAATCTTGAAGTGAACTGGTGGTGCCCAGGGATGGATTTTCTAAGGATTGGGATGGTTGATTTTTCAAACCATTGTTTTTAACCTCTGCTGATCTAAATGAAAGAAAAAACAAACCAAGGGGAAAAGGATAATGCCAACCACTTGTGATGGTGCAAGGTTGAAGATTGAAACTTCTCGACCAGTTCCAGGAAACCATGTGGAGAGGAGCCTCTGGTGGTGTGCATTTCCTGCAGGAGCAGGGAATTCTTCATGTACCCACTGTGTCAGCCTCTCTTTCTGTGTTTGTTACAGTGGTTTGAATATCCTGTTGTTTTCTTCTTCGTCCTCTGTTTGCCTTCACCTCTCAGCACTTACCTTTCTGCTCTCTCCCCAGCATGAATGGCCACAGTGTTGTGCCACAGTCAGTGGTGCATTTCTACAGTGCCACCAAATACGCAGTTACAGCCCTCACGGAGGGGCTGAGGCAAGAACTCAGAGAAGCAAAGACTCATATACGAGCTACAGTGAGTACCGTGGGCTCTCCTCGTCTCTCTTGCTTTTATGGGTGGTTGAAAGCTGGCAGGCTTTATGGGGCAGAGGTTTTTCCCTTTGGAAGACAGGCAAGGAAGTGTAAAACTGGGAATGTTCAAGTCTTGTGGCTATTTGTCGCTGGCCACCTCTCTTTCACAGGCAGAGAGTTTGGGGTGGAGAAAGCAGGGCAGCAATGAGCTGTATCAGGGAATGAGCTTTTTGGGTGCACAAAATGGGCAGTTGCTTGTTGGGGGGGGAGCTCATGGCAGTCAGCTGGGCTGTTTGCTCTTGTTCACAGCTTGCATCTCAGGAGTGATGTGTGTCCAGAACTGAATTTGCATTGCAAGGTTTTCCATTATTTTCTCTGCTTCTCTGTCCCTGTGGGGCACAAAGAGGGAAGTACCTGCCACAACAACCACTGAGGCAAAACCTGTTCACTGGAACTACTCCTTTAGTAAAAGGAGGGTGGGGAAGAAGAACAATAGAAAGGGGGCTGGGTTTTGGTTTGCTTTTGCTTTTTCAGTGCTAAAAAGTGTTCTTTGTTTCTTTTTTTTTTCTTATTCTTTTACTGAAGGGGAATGACAAATCCTATTAGGATATGCTCTGCTTTTTTCCAGTGTATCTCCCCAGGACTGGTGGAAACAGGATTTGCTTTTAAACTTCATGACAATGACCCCGAGAGAGCTGCTGCAACCTACGAGAGCATTCGGGTAGGACATGGAGGAATGGAAACAGGGAAGTGGCTCTGATTATAATTTAGCAGTTTCCTGGCTGATAGCACAGGGAGCTGGCTCTTGCAGAACTTCTTCCTTACAGAGTGCCCAGTGCTTTCCAGGATGTTATCAGCATCCCCAGAGTCTCAGCACTCAAAGCTCAGATTTTGCACTGATATTTACACACTAGACTTTCATTTGGATTCAATTTTCAACTCCCTATATTGTTTTCCTTTTATTTGGGTGTCACTATAAATAAATATCAGTCAGCTCTGATGTTTTGCAGGCTGTGAGCTCTTTACTGATGAGAAGATACAATATGTAAACATGCCTGCACAAGAAGAGATGGAAGAGCCTGTTGTGCAGGTGGCTAGCACAGGATTCCTTATGCTTCCCTGGGCATTTTTGATAAGAGTGGCAATGCCTGACCTGGCAGAATTACTGTGCCAGTAGAACAAGAGTATTCACAGCAAATGGAGAATTATCAGCACCAGACATGTCCTTTGATAAATTTTCAATGAATTACTACTTTCCTGCTTGCTTGCATGTTTCTGACATGCCCCAGTGACACTGTCGAAACTCGTTATTGATGTTAGGAAAGGAGTGATGTTGTGGCTCACTTTCTGAGGCGCCCTTTGACTGAGAATCTCTTTGGTGTCTTTGCAGTGTCTCAAAGCTGAAGATATGGCTAATGCTGTCATATATGTCCTCAGTGCTCCACCTCACGTACAGGTAGGCTGGTCTGGGTTGGAGGACTCTGGAGGATGCAGCAAAGGCTGCTCTGACTCTGGAGGACTGTGCAAGGCTATGTCAACGGGAGGGATAGCGTGCGATGCTTGTGCAGCTAAAGGGGCTTCCCAGCTGTGAAACAAGAAATAAGTGACCAGCTTTGGGCTGGAGGCAGGACCAGTGTCAAAGTTTAGTATATGTAAAAAGTTCCTGTTGCAAAAGCAAACTTTGATCAGGAGAGGTTTAGGAGCCCCTCGTGTGAACTCTGCTCCTTTGCAGCAAGACATGGCTGTCTTGTCTTAACATTAAAAGTCCAGCCCGTGGCTGATCAAGCAGTGCTTCTGCCTGGCCCCCTATGAGCAGGACTAAACTAAAAACTTGAGTTTGCAATTAGTGTTATCTTGAACCTTTTCTGCCCATATATTATGCTTTTATCCATTCTGCTGAAGGCAGAGTAGTCACATTCACCTTCATTCCTTCCTAAATACTTCTGTTAAGCAATCTCATTTCTAGCCACAGGAACGTTCTTCATGTGCAGTTTGTCACTGTAGTGCTGCAGCATGGAAGTGCCCAGTGCAGGATATAAAATGAAACCTCAGTGCTCCAGTAAAATCCTATGTTGGTCTCTTCTAGATTGGAGATATACAGATGAGGCCCACAGAACAGATATCATAGCAGATGAAGAGGACTGTGAGCAGCACCGTGTATCCACTCCACTTCGAACCCTCTGGCAATTCAGGGTTCCATCAGCTGGCTGGCAACGTTTTAATCAAGTACCAAGGATCATGTTTGAAGAATTGTTTTTCTCTCCCTCTCTCTGAGTTGGTGCTGGTGCTGAGCCAGTGTATGAAAAACGAGTAGTGGGTCTCTTTGTGCCCCACTCCTTTCTGACGCTGTTTTAAGAGTAAAATGTGTTTGCAAATAATGCAGGGAAGTGGTTTGTGGAAGATTATTGTCTCCAGGCTGGTTTATTCTTCCTTTTTCTTTCTTTATAAGGTTTGTTTCTTATTTGCTGATGCTGTGTCTGGACACAGGGGAAGTGGCACAAGGTGTTTGCCAGCTTCAGTGTGCTTAGGGTTTGAGATGTCATACATGAATCCATCTAATTTTGGGGTTTACTTTCATCAGATTGATTACTGATGGTAATGATGCATGTGGTATTTTCTACTTCTTACTCCACTGCCCTACACCCAATGTACAATCTCGCCCTCCTCCCCAAGCTCTCCTTTCCCATTCACATGAATCATGCCTGCCGAGTTTGAGGAAGTATAAATGTGTGTGCTTGCTATTTCTCTTTCTTTCTAGGTAGGTAGGTAAATAGTTGGAGGACGAGCACCTGTACTTCTGCAGGTTAGAATGATAATCTAAGTGGTATAGTTACAGTAAGAGTGAGTTGTTTGGTAATTTAAATAAAAACTAAATGTGTGCTGTCTTGTGATCACCTCTATGCTTGGTATTATCTCCCAGCACTCTTCATGTTTCTGTATGTGATATTTGCATGCATTGACACTTTTCTGGAAATATTGATGGGTCTTAGAAAGATGTTTAAATGCTGGTTCTGTTTAAATGCTGGTGAGCTGGAAATGTTGAAAGTTTGCTTATATGCAGAGATACACACTTGGAGAGAGTGAGAGTGAAATGAACCATGCTGAAGCTGTCCAAAAGGAAAAGATTTGCCTGCAAAGCAGCAGGTGAAAGGTCTGGTTGAGATCTTGTGTTAGTTCTACACTGGTGCAGCCCCATTGTTTTGCTCTGGATTTATTCTAGCTTGAGGGAGAAGAGAATCAGCCTCAAAGCTGATACGTGCAGAGCTGGAGGCCACTTGAGTTGTCTTAAGATTCTTGAGTGTGGCAGAAGCGCATCTGTGTGTAGTCCAACTCGCTGCAGAGCTATGGAGCTGTTAATGTACATGTTGCCTTAAGGTTGCAGACTTGTTCTTGCTGCCTCTGGACTTCCTGTAGTGTTTTGGAAGGCAAAGGTTGGTTTAGGTGGAGTAGGAATGGTCAGTTGATTGGAGTGGAGGATTGGGAGCCAGAGAAACTTGGATTGGATTTGCTTACACCAGTGGGAGTTCATCTGTGTTCCACCACCATAAGGGAGACTAAAAATGGGCCACTAGAACATGAGTTTCAACTCCCTATATAGCCTTGGGCAAGTCACCTTACCTCTCTGCCTCAGTTTCCCCATCTGTAAAATGGGGATAATAATACTTGCCTACCTCACAGGGGTGTTGTGAGGACTCACAGACTTTTGTAAAGCACTTTGAATCTGAGAAGCGCTGTGTAAGTGCTGAGTGTTGAGATGAAGTATTATTATTAATGAAATCTCATGATACTTAGAATTCCTTGTGCCAAAGGTGAGCAACTGTAGGATACAAGGAGAAAACTGGTAACATTTACTTTGTAATGCCAAAACAAAGGCAGTTTGCCCCTTTTTTTCCTCTTTATAAATACATGCTCATGGTGTGTTCTGTTCATTCCTCCTCTTGTCACCAGTTTCTGCTGGCAAGTACTTGTAGCCTCATCTCCGGAGTTGGCCTTTTCATTTACTGTGAGTGAAATTTGTGCCCCATGAGGTCTTGGACGCCTGTAGTGCACTGCCCATCTTCACCTTGCTGAGGTCGTGGCTTTGTGTTGGATTCTTTGCACAGAGCTGGGTTTCAGCTGTGGCGTTGGATTAGATCATGTCCTGCAAGGAACAGCCAGCCCAGATCTGCACGCAGCCAGCAATCCCTTTTGCCAGCTGGAAAAGCTCTTCTGTCTCCAAGCCGCTGTGATCCTCCATTCAGAGCCATTTGGCTAAGGAAGGTTCAGTCCCTGCTGTGCTTTCTGTAACACCCCTGTGATGTTCAGCCAAACTTGATATGAAAACTGGTGTTTTCCATAGTGTCTCTTTTGCAGGAGTTTGTTGAAGTGCAGTAGATGTGCTGTGCAGTGTGTGCCATCTTTTTAAGAGAAGATTATTGAACTGGGAGTTCAGAAAGAGTTGAGAAATTAGGAGATATATATATAGGTATATATTTCTGAGCAGAAAAGGAGCAAGGGTGTGGGATAGCACTGGTGAAACGTGTATTGATGGCTGCAACTATGTGCTGAGTTAAGCAGATGTTGAAATCCATGGCCGAGGAGGGACCTGACTTATCTTTCTGCTCTGTAAAAGAGGCTTTGGAGAGAATTGCTTAAGATGCAGGGCCTTGAGAAAGGGCCATTCTGGGTACTTGCTCCCTGCAAATACAAGCTATCTGGAAGTTTGTTCTGTTCTTTTCCCTGAGAACATTGGTAACAGTTGCAAGTCTATAAAGTAACCTTGAAATGATATCCAGTATATTTTTCCATTTCAAATGTGGTTTTAGGGGTATAATCCCTGCTGCCCATTAACTTCCCACATGAAGCATGGCCCATGGAGGGGTTTGTCTGGCCACTCTGCCTCGTGAATGCGGTGCCGCCTCCCTGGGATGAGATGGGATTGGCAGCATAACTCCAAGGCATTTAAACCCCCAAACAGAAGGGTGAACTGTGTAATTTATCAGTAGGTTTCTCATTGTGAACTGTAAAATAAAGAATAAAAAGAGAGGCACACTGTGGTTCTCCTGTTGTGTATGTTGCAGTTCTTGTGCTATAACATCCTTGTGCTATAACATCCTTTTTACTCTTCACAGCTAAACCTTTTGTGAAGAGTTCAGAGAGAAATGTGTGTGTTTGGTTCTTCATAGTTGTTTTCCAGAGCACAACAGCATCCAGTTGTCTCACTGATAACCTGTGGAGGTTGGATTTGCCCATCCTTGTTCCAATGAAGCCACTGAAATCCTCAGGTAGGCTGCTGGTATGGACCAGGTTGGATTAAATTATGCAAGGGATGAACTGCTCTTGCTTCTCAGACTTGGAGATTGAGTTATTTCAATCTCTCCTTGAAGCAAAACAGGTTATTGTTTTGTTAACTGAAGGCATTTTTGTCTCCCAATCCCCTTTCAGCATGTCCAAGTGCAGAGCCACATTCCTGAGCTCAGGTTTACAGTCACTGAAATCCACAGTTTTTGCCAGTAAGTCATGAGCAGCTGCATCAGCAAACGTTATCTGGCAGATTGGGATGAGGTGAGTAGTCTCAGCTCTCATTTTTGTGGGGAAGGAACCATAAGCATAGCTGGCCCTAGGAAGCAGCAGGAAAAACAAGATTTTACTTAAGATCTTTGAACCTGTAAAGGCAATTTCATGGTATTTTTTGAGGCCTGATGTAACTTAATGCTTCAGAGTAATGGTATGGAAAAGGAATGAAAAAAACTGTGGCTTCTCTCTGCAAAATCGTCCAGCAATCATATTGTGGCATGTCCCCCGTGGTCCGTGCAGGTATGTTTTCCCGTGGGATAAACCCTTGGAAGCCCTAAACCTGTTGCTGTGAATGAGCTGGTTCCTTGTTTGCCTGCCCCTTGTCTACCCATTTATGAAAAAAAGATGGATAGAAAATAGCACATAATGAGAAGAGCAGCATTTTGCTTTGGAGTTACAGGTCAGGAGTGAGCTGGGGAGCCACAGGGCATGCTGAACACACTTGGAGCCCTTTCTCAATCTCCCCTCTTTTTGCCATTGTGGGTTTTACAGCCTCTCTGAGCACACACCACCTTTGGGAATGGGGTCAGAGGGAAAACAGCTCTTTGCTGCCCTTGCTAATGGAATGAGCTTGCTAATGCAATGGCTGTGGCCGGGAGCAGACCCGCCGGTTCCCGGTGGATGCCGTGTGGACCGCCCGTCCGCTCCCTCCCACCGCCAGGCGGCGCTGCCGCGGCGGGCGGCTCACCCCGTCTCGGTGGTGCTATCATGTGCCCACCCGGAAGCGGTGCGGGGCTCTGCGGTGTCGGTGCTGCCGCCGCGGTCGGGGCTGGTCTCGGTGCCCTGCCCCGGTGCCCGTGGGTACCTGTCCCACGTGGAAGGGCCTTCGGGGCACCAATGGAGCTCACGGCCCGCGTGTGGAGGGCCGCGGGGCTGTCACCCGCTCACTGCGGCCTGTGGTGGAGGGGCCTGAGGGGCTGCTCGGCCAAAGGTGGGCCTGAGGCAGCACCGGGCCCTGTGGGAGGTGGCGGTCGGCTTCACCCTTCAGCCCTGCCTAGGGCTTGTCGGGCCTCCAGCACCTCCTCTGAGGGCCTGGTCCCGCAGAGCCAACCAAGACCAGGGCATAGATCCAAAGACAGAGGGGCCATGCTGGCTGCCCCTGCAGCCGGGGAGCTGTGGAACTCGAGGGAAGGCGGCTTGTGGAAGGTGAGGAAGAGGATGGATAGAAAGCCTCTGGTCATTGCAAGGACTAAAGGCTCCGAGATCTTGTTTGGGATCTCCCCGTGTTCCCTGGCCCTCTCTCAGTCGAGAAGGGACCTGTTCAGGTTGTTCCTCAAGCAGAGCAGTGGCTCCCGGCAGTTTCTTATGAGTGAGTTTGCCCTTCAGGCCACGGCCCGGGGAGTCCCTGTGCACTATGTCAACAGGAAGCAGCTGGATGCTCTTTGCAGAGGTCAGGTCCACCAAGGAGTTTGTTTGGAGGCCACTCCTCTCCGTTTCAAGAGTTTGGAGGAAGCTGAAAAGCCTGATTTGAGGGATGAAGAGAGCCTGAACCGGCAGCTTCTTTGGCTGGTGTTGGAGCAGATCCAGGATCCCATGAACCTGGGGGCACTGCTGCGCTCTGCGTACTTCTTGGGGGTGGACAGAGTGGTGACAAGCCGGAGGAACAGGTATGGGGCTGGTTGGTTGCTCCTTCAGCTCTTCTCTGTCTTTTCCTGCTAGCTCTCAAAGAGGTTTCCAGCCTGCATTGCTCGACAGCTGCTTTAGAGGGCTTTCCAGGACTGAGCTGGAGCTGAATTTGGGCAGCTGCTGCTTTGTGCTGCACTCTGCAGGGAGGCTATGGGATGTGGTGTTCCAGGCTGGAAAAGAACCTCCCTGGGCACCCTTTGTTGTAAGCCACTTTGTGTTTCAGTTGTCCATCGGTGCATAAAACTGCCCTCTATTTCTTGGGTTAATTTCTGGGCCCTTCTATTCTCCATAGCAAAATACATCTATGTAGTGAGCAAGATATCTAGTGGACTAGTTGGAATTGGGCTGCAGAAGGAAACGGAGAAACAAAAATTCTCCTGGATTTTTTTTTTTTTTTTTTACTTTTACATGATGCTTTTCCTTTCTTTTTTCCCTTGCAGCTGCCCCCTGACTCCAACAGTGAGCAAAGCTAGCTCTGGAGCTATGGAAGTCCTCGATGTCTACAGCACCGATGATCTCCAGAGCTTTTTGAAGGTAGAGTGATCCACATTTTTTTCCCTTTCCTATGAAGAAACCTCAAGATATTTCACGTGTTGAACAGAGAGGCAGTACAGGAAAAGTATTTCCTATTTGCATGTGTTCCTGTTCTGCATTCCTCTCTGCTGCCGGTGGTCTGTGCTGTCGGATCACCTCTGACGGGTGTGCACAA